AGCCGTTATGTACTACATATATATTCAAATGATTTAGCTCCTATATCATTATGGGCCCAAAACGTGTCCCAGAACACATAATTAAAACATATACCATTGTTGTGCTGCATGAGTTTTGATATCATGTATTAGAAACAATTTCAAACAATCAGAACTTTATCCGGTAAACTAATACATTAATGATATTGCCCACTGAGAATATATCATAAATAAAAATTTGAGTCAATTACTCTTGGGGATTTTTTTGGGAGCTCCACTTGTATAATGATATATCTTTTGCATCCTGCGGTTGAGCTTCCATGCGTAACTCCTTCAGACCCTGTAGAATCATGTGCACCATTAATAAATATCCTTGTGCATGTGTACCCCATACCTTGATAGAAAAAGCAACAGAAACCCACTTAGACTACATCTTAAATATAGCTTCATACCTTGATTGGTTGTGCATCTTGCCTCATCCTTGTTGTGTCCTTCACGTGAGAGTCGTGAAGGACCAATTCCCTTGGAGTATGCCTCTAGGCTGTTTGGGACATAAGGACTAGTGAAAGACATGGATTGGATTGCTCCAATAAATTCTGCAGGTTCATTAGGCACAATGTATCCTCTCTTCACACGGACACTCCTCCAGTTGTTATCTGATGGTACTGGTAATCCAGATGCCAACTATGAGGCGCTATGCTTTTGTTGTGGATCTGAGAGATGCATACTTTGTCCAGTTTCAGCATGAATATACATGTCATGAAGCTGAGAGTTGATGCCACCTCTAACAAAAATGGGAAAAGTTCAGGCCCAACCGTAACAATGAGTGCCCTTACATAGTCACGGCTATCCCTGGTAGCTTCAACACATTCCATCTTTTCAAACTTACAGAAATAATCAAGAATGCCCTTTACATCATCCAAACCCCAACATTCTCTAGGCAATCCACTTATCCTCACTCAAAACCTTTGCAGCGTTCCATGTGCTCCTATATTCTCCTCTCATCTCCTCAGTACCAAAGCATTATTGGAACCAAATAATACCTGCCCAATTGCAGCCTTCTCTAAGATGCTTATGGATGGAAACTCGATGAGATAAGTTCTAGGACCTACTGGAACTGCTTTCCAAGGGTATTCGAAATTATAGACCTCCCGTAGTATGCCTTGAACAACCTCTGGAGTGGATTCCAAAGGACCCAAGGTTGATGCAATTGCACATCTCTTTAGTGTGTTTACTCTAGCCTCATGATCTTTGCTAGGCCCTAGACAGATGAACTGAGGAAAATAAATAGAGTGTTGTTTACCTCCACGTTGAAATTTTGCTGGAGCGCTCACCAATGTAGCGCACTTAGATTGTTCTTCTTCCTTCCACCCTCCATCCTTGTAATTTTATTGGCGCTATGGCCATTTTACCGGCCTTCAGTGACTTAAATATATGTGGGGAACGACCCTTATACATGTCTGAGCCATGATTTGTATGCTCGAGCGGTTCAATTTCCCAGAGCAAACTATTGCCCAACAGTTAGAAGGGTACTGATAAAGGTGCCTTATATGCAATTGGCTATACATGACCAGTTGCTACACCAGCCTATTTCACAAAGTTGCAAGGACATTAACCAAAGGAAGATCTGCTGGCATATGGTCAAGTGCACCTCTAACCTTGTGCATGGGCCACCGAAGTGCGGAGCCTCATAGGTCAATGCCAAAACCTTAGGCGTCCAACTACCCCTACAATGCCACCTCACCATCGCCCAACTGAACAATCAGAACTAGACCAAAGGGAACACACTAGACAAATAAGTGGAGTATGTAAATTTAGGCCAAAATTTTGTAAGGTCTGTGGTTTCCGTTGTTTGGTAAAGTAGTGTTATGAGGGGGACATCGTTAAAAAGAATCCCTCTATAAAAGTTTGGCAGAAGGGCTGACCTCTTATGAAGAATTAGTTGATTTGAACAACATCAAGAAGTTCTTATGAGTAAGGAATTCTACTTTATACCACTAATAAGGAGGAAAACAGGATAGCAAGATAAGAATAGGCATTGTTTGACCTCTACAGTCACGACAGCCATATACTATTTGGCCATCTTATGGGCGAGCAATGTACCCCTTGTTTTTCTATACATCCAGCACACTTATGGATTCGCTAGGACATATATGTGATTATCTAGCTGCCATTAGTTTTCCATCAACTATTTGGGTCCCTGTTCGTAAGCAGTTACCTTGTAGTTGCATGGTAGCAGTGTTAGCCCAAACAACCATGCCATTCCAAGGCAAGGTACACTAGCCTTCCCTATTCTAAATAGCGGCCTTTGCTTGTAGGAACACATCAACTATTCAACAATAGTTATATGAACATTGGCTTGCATCCTGCCTTTCCTACACTGTTGTACGAAATGCATATATTAATAGAAGAGAGGCGATAGGGATGGATTCGGATCAGAGCCATACGGATACGGGTGTGTACACCACTGTTTACCATACTTTAATTTAAATTCAAATACGAGTACGTATATTGTTAGATACAAATGCAAAACGAATATCTCGAATTCGGATATCTACTTGATTTTGAGGATGACAGGTATCTATTACTTATCGATAGTTTAATAGTATACTAAAACCATAATGGATAAAGGATTTAAAACATAGCTATATAACACCATGCACAAAGACAACTACAGAAAATAAAATAATTTAATAAATATTCTAATAATTAAATATATAAAATATAAGACAATTATAAATATTATATATCAATTACTGGATTCAAATGAATAAAAATAAATTCTACAAGTATATAAACAAAATAAGATACTAATTAATATGATTAGCCATATTAAAATTAATTAAACTTAAGATTTTTATATCGTTAATAAGATAGTACTGGCTTTGTCACATTTTGTCGAATCAAACGTGGAATCAGATAGAGAAAAATCTTCAAAAGCGAATACGGATGCATCCATTTACCATTCATATTTAGATCGAGTACGAATACGGATATCCATATTTATACTAAATGAATATGGATATCAGATCTTTTAGATATCTAGAAATCTTGACGTCCGCATCCATCCCTAGCCGATACCCGATAAAACACCTGACAACGACATTTATTACTATAAAATATTAGTAGCACGCAATCGTTAATAAGAAGACTAGTCTAAGCAAGGAAGATTATTATTCGACTGTTTGTAGTTGTTCAATAACCCCCCCCCCCAACGTTTGGCTATAGTCCTGTTTTATTTGTTCTTTAGCTTTTCAGTACTTTGCAGCGGCGGAACTAGGGAGGGGGGCAGCAGGGCCCGTGGTCCCCCCAATCCAGTAGAAATGTTTTTAATATCCCTATAATTACTGTAATTTATAGCATATTAAGACATCATTTTACCCATTTTGTATCATAATATCATGATTTTTCAATATCGATACTAATTACATATATAAAACATTGAAAAAAATTGGTGAAACATACACTCATGTATGTATTTATCATACTTAGAGGTGTCATCGTATTTATCCAGCCCTCATTAAACAATGCTGCTGGTTCCGCCACTGGTACTTTGTGCACTACAAATTGTCCTGTAGGATGCGCCGGAACTAATTTTGGAACTACAAACATCCTTGGCTAATTGCAGTTGAATCATGCTGGGTGGCAGGGAGCCACAAAGTATCATTTAATGATATAAATAATCAGACCCAGACCTATTCATCTTTTTCATTCTAATCCCATGTGACAAGGAATAGCTGGTGCATTTATACGAGGATAGAAACTTAATGCTAGAACTGCTATAGTTACTACTCGAGCTTTCAAACTGAAGGTTAAAGCTTGTTTCCTTGATAAAAAAGGTACTTATTTTTGTAAGACACGTGCATGTATGAAAGTAAAAAATGTTCGCTCTCTTTGACTCGTGTTGCCTTAGATGACAAATCAGCTACAGATAACAGATAACCAAACAATACTAGCTTTTTCTGATAGTTTGTACCTATGCGTTTGGTCAAAACCAGGGGCATCCACAGGATTGTAGGAGTATCTAGCTTTTCCAGCGTGCGGAGCAGGCAGTAGTGGCGTGCTTCTAGGATGTATGCATGCGTCAAATTGGCTACCAACATGCATGCATACGAGTATCAGGCTATCTAGCAGGTAGCAACAAGCATGCAGAAGGTAGGCCACCACATGTGTTGCCAGAATCGATGCTCTTCTTGCTTCTTCGTGTCGAGCGTCTTGATAAAAGTAGCAGTCAACAACATCCTTCTGCTCAGTCATGCATGTTATTACTGCAGACCAGTTTTGAGTCCCTTTCCTTTACCTGTCACCTAGGTACACGTCCTTTGCATGTCCATGCTTCTTTGTTTCCATTAGTTCATTCTAAACGAGGGCTATTTACAAATTAGAGGGGAATCTATCAATGCATCTCATATGCTATATTTTGATGACACATGTATAAGTTTCATCCATAGAATTTTCTACATCCATAAATATACCACATATGTAAACACTTTATGTGCTAGCTGTTGGATTTATCTATTCCACTAATCTATACTACTGAGCTCCAGAAGCCCGGTCTGACCAACGTTCACATTTTTGGTGCCTTAAAGGTTACTCGATGTACCCATGCACTTTGTTTATTGATAATTAGTCGACTATACAAGTTAGCTGACAGTTGTATAGACCATTCTAGCATCAGCTGATGGTTTTATAGCCCACACATGAAGACAGTTCAAAGGCAGCAAATAAAATGCGATAAATAGGTGGACCTGCATGGGACTTGTGCAGATGCTCCTCATGTGTGGTGGAGGGTTCAAATTAATTCTCCATCTCGTGATTGGCTACATGTGCCCCTCAAAAAGAAATGTCTTAGCCATCCATCGCTTAGCATGGTTCCTCGCTTAATTAATGATCCAAACACAATATACATGTCCTAGTGTCCACTAAGAACGAGGACCAGATTGTCCCATATGTACATATATTACAGATGTGGCAAATGTCACATAGAACCTAGATGGAGTCCGATTGTTTGGGCCTCTCAATTATTCTACATGCCCCTTCTTCTTAGTAGAATGGTGCACGTACTGGTCTTCCCTTGCGTGGACTCTTAGGCAACGCGGCCTCCTTATTGAGTGAGCACATAGGCGGCGTGGCATCATGTGCGCTGAGTGACCACCTAGAAAAGGGGCAGCATTCTCCGTATTGAGGGAACACCTAGCTTTGACATGTACCTTCTGCTTCTTTGCTACTTGAGCGGCAGGGTAGAAATCATCCAGATCACGGTATTTGATGATCCCTTCCATGCATCCAGTATTATCTGGAGGGCTACGTGCCTCCACTTCTACCTATATGTAGCGAATCATTAGGCAATCACGGGTTGTGGCTGGTTTTGATGGCAAAGGGAGATGTCTTAGTTAGTACTCAAGGTAAGATAATAAATCGTTTACCTTGCATCCGACCGAGCAAAACTGGGCCACATCCATTGGGGCACGTTTGCATGAAATACATTCAAACCTATGGGGCCGGCCGCCCCGGCGCTTTAACCTGACCATGGAGCCTCTACAGGTGCCCCGCTTGGTGAGATGTAGGACCTTAAATCCATTACGCTCATACTGTTGTATCCCCGTTATATCGATCACCCCTATGATATCTTGGACCCGTACCACTTCATTCAATGATGCTTTACGCACCTATATGATGATTTATGAGGCATTAGCTACATGTTGCAGTGGATAAAGATTAAAAAAAGCAACGTGCTATTTGGTAAGCAAAAGTTTGAAAACCTGTAACATCCGGTGAGATGGATGACTTCCTTGGCAGACGTAGCACAAGGCCTCTTGCTGTAGTTCTCGACAGTCTAAGCAAAAGTAGCTGCATGGAATGTCTTTTTGTTCGCTGTTGTGCACTAGACAAGGGTGACCAAACTTGTTGCCGACCAACGCTGCAATGCGCTTGACGCTTATGTGGCTGACAGCCATTAGGTGTGTGCCTCGCTATGTTGGGGGGAGAAGGAGATTTCAAGTATCAAATAGTTCTTAGTGTGGTGTTATAGTTTCCACCCTCCATCTAATACATTGCAATGCACGTCCCCGCTCCTACATGGCAGTTAGCACTGCTGTGATTCAGTGCTTATGATAGGAGACAAGGTTACGTGATATCAAAGTAACATATTTGTGAGAGGGTGCATGGGAGTGGAAGCTTTGTAAGATTCGGATACCCCACCTATGTGTCTAGGCTCTACTTGCATGGTGCTAGAGAATGTGGGAGGGTGTCTTGGAGGCTCCAAGGGTGGGCTATTTATGGGGACCAGGCTAGACTGGACTTCCTTGTTTTAATTGGTAGACTTTGATTCCCATGCACACATCAACTATTCAACAATAGTCATACGAACATTGGCCTCGACCTTACCTTTACTATGTGGCTACGCTTACATACATACTCCCTCCATCCCTGAATAAATATATTCCTAGAGTTGTCTTAAGTCAAACTTTTTAAACTTTAACTGAATTTCTAGAAAAAGGTAAGATTTATAGTATCAAATTAGTTTCATTAGATTTAGCATAAAATATATTTTCATAAGGTGGTCATTTTATTTCATAGATGTTGTTATTTTTTCTATAAAGTTAGTCAAATTTAAAAAAGCTTGATTGACACGGATTCTAGAAATTGATTTATTTGGGAGGAGGGAGTATTGATTTAGTCCACCTTTATAAGACCAAGAAAACTGGGCTATATTCATGCTAGCTCATCCACCATCTCATCTGAGTGGAATTTTTTGCACTAGACGACAGTCGAGGTGCGCCTCCTTTGCTAGCTAAGGGGATGAACTATACAGAACATTGGTTATATTATTTTTTGTATTTTGATATTGTAAATTGATAATGCCCCAAAAGAACAACTACCTGGAAATGTGTTACATCTCAGTATGCAAACACATAGAATGGTCGGTCAGAAGAGTACGCATAGCAGTTTTTTATTGAGATCGGCCTCAACATCTCACATGAGTGCTCTCTTGTCCCGGACGGAATTTTAGGCGCCATGTCGTGCTATTCCTGTTCATGCTCCGCCTTGGCATGCTGTATATCTTCTACCCTCGGACAGGTAGAGAGCCTAAGGCGAAGACCTCTAGCAAACCATCTAGCATCCTCACTTGATTTTAGATCGAGGGGATCCTAAATAATGGCAACCCTCCTCCTATCTCTTCTTACTCTAGCTTGCATTATGGTCTTCCTAGACCACGTAGCCGGTACAAAAAAAACATAATATTGGCTACTGCTTCCTTCTCTAGCGTGTACTTGCTCATCTTCTACTCCAGGCATGCCATCACCTCAACTTCATGCGCAGATGAACGGAGGACTAGCATACGCGCTGCATGGTGTGCCTCACTCATTCTTTTGTTGATTCTAGGCTTCCAGGTAATTAATTATAGTATGCTGCATAGTCAACAATAATCTATGTGTCTGCTTCACCAATTCTTGTGGTGCCTCTTGACCTTCAGGTACAGGAATATGCTGCACAGTCAACAATGATCTATATCTGGATGATTGCAGTATGTGTCTAGCTAGCTATGTTGATAATTCTTGAGGTTTTGCAGCACGTAGACATAGCTGAAGGATTACAGCGGACCAATCTAGTCTGACAATAGGTTTATTTGAAAAGAATAGCTAGATATGAGCTACAAGGCGATGATGCGGTTATGGCATGTCATCCTCGTGTGTGGTTAGATGCTTCATACAAGTACGAAGTAATACTAGGTTAGGGTTACCCATTTAGCCACGGTAATCCTAGTTAGTTGCCAATCTAACGACCATCTGGTGTAATGTCCATTTATACATGATTGTATTAACTCTGTGCTACTCTACCTAGAATATAGTACACTTGCATGTTTTTGGTAAGTTTCAGTTGTCAGACTCAATACATGATGCTCTAAGGCAGCCAGGCATCCTTGTTATGTCTGTACAGTTTTTTGGGCAACATTACCATTGTTGAGAGTACATGAAAGGCACCTGTTCAAGTATTATAAGGCAGGTGTCAGGGATTATATTACTAGATGTTATAGTTTTTTTGCAAGCTATAAGAAATTATATTGCTATTGCTGTTGCTGTTGTTGTTTGTGTGTGTGCGTGTGTTGTATTTTTATAGTGCTGTAATTTAAGGCTTCAAGTAAGGGTTACTCCCATGCCCCTTCAAGTTACTGAGTGCTGCATCAAATGTTTCATGGAAGGACTTAAACCCGAGCTAGCTATATATTCAACATGCAGTTGATAGTTGAAAGATTACGGCCACTCTAGAGTTGCTGCTAAAGTTATCTATGTTTTCCAGAGACTTGCATGAGTTTGGTCTCTATTAGTGCTACCTCCAGCTCAAAAAGAATGTTGTCCTAAATTCGAACTCAGACAAAATTTGTAAACTTTCAATAGATTTATAAAAGAGCAAAATTCATCGCCGATCCCTGAACTTGGCCGGCGGTGTCATCCAGGTCCCTGAACTTCTAAAGTGATATCTGTGGGTCTCTAAACTTGGCAGACGGTGCCATCTAGGTCCTTGAACTTGCAAGGTGATCACTTCAGGTCCCTAAACTTGGCCGATGGTGTCATCCTGGTCCCTGAACTTTCAAGGTGATCACCGCAGGTCGCTAAACTTGGCCGGCGGTGTCATCCAGTCCAAATGTGGTCTAACCCACTCTATAAGCTGGCGTGGCACACTGACTGTACGTTAGACGTGAGTCCAACATGTGTAAATTAATCAATTATTATTAATATAGTATTTATCATGAAATTATAAATTATATAAAATAATTTACGTCAGCAAAAAATAAATTAAAGTATTAAAATAATTTACAACAACAAATACATTAGGTTTAAACTTAAATAGAAAAATACTAAAATTAATTTAATATTTATGTATCATTAACAATATTAAAATTCCTATAGTATTAAAAGTTTTCTCCATTAAAAGTTACTTCTAATTTTTGTATTATTTTAAAAGTTTTATTAGTAGTATTATAGAAGTAACTTTTCTCTATTATTAATACTATAATTCTATAATACTATTATTAAACCTTTTAATACTATAATACTATTATTAAAAGTTCTAATGCTATAATACTACTATTAAAAGTAGTACAGTATTATAGTATAATACTATATTACTATTAATAATACTATTATTAAAAGCTCTAATATTATAATACTAATAGTAGTATTACAATATTAGAACTTTTAATAATAGTACTATAGTATTAAAAGTTTTAGTAATGGTGTTATAGTATTATAGTTTAACTCTAGTATATTTGTTATTGCAAATTATTTTAATACTTTAATTTATTTTTTGCTAATGTAAATGATTTTATATAATTTATAATTCTATGATAAATATTATATATATAATGTTTGATTAATTGATACACGTTGCATCCACGTCTAACGTACAGCCAGCGTGCCACGCCAGCTTATAGAGTGGGTTAGACCACATTTGAACTAGGATGACACCGCCGACCAAGTTTAGGGACCTACGGTGATCACCTTGAAAGTTTATGGATTTGGATGATACCGTCTGCCAAGTTTAGAGACCACACATATCACTTTAGAAGTTCAGAGACCTAGATGATACCCCTTTAGTAGTACCACCATTTGTATATCAGAAAACTTTATTGTTAAAATATATTTCACGATAAGCATCTAATTGTACCGTCCCGCATCATACATATGTTGGAACTCATGCACGTTTGCATACAACCATGATTGGTCGAATAGGAAAAACACTACCATCTATTTGCGAATTTTTGTTGGTGCTATGTATAGTGATCATTTTACACAAAAAAAACATGCCGCGTACCTCTTCGTAGCATTTCCTAAATATGGCATTTGGTTAAACTAAGTAATTTGGTTCTATGGTAGCATATACACCACACATACTGGCTTAAATCGGAAAGTGGGTCCATATAAACAGCTGTGTACTTGACGTGTATGCAAAGAGGAGTCTCACAGCAAAGGTGGACACTGTAACCCAATTGTTAGTAGGACAACCATGGCAGGACAAGCCAGGCCACCCTTTCTATGCTAAAGAGAAGGCTTTGTCTCCTAACATTAGAAACTAATGGAAGATATGGTTGTCCAGATTGTCTCTCTACAGATTCAAAGATGTCGCATGGTTCCATGGTCAACTTACACAAGACCTATTCGATACCAGTGACATGAACATTGGACATTTGGACTCTATCCAGTGCCCTATAGCCTGTTACATAGTACACCCCGGATTTGACATCTCAATCACGCCTCCAAATTTAATGCTTGACTACAGGTTTGTACGTCGTATGTCATTTTGATTAGGCATCTGCTCCAAGTCATTATATTACCTGTGGTTGAACCTTAACAGGCTTGCACCTATACCATACCCACACTAAATGCTTTATTAACTTCCAACGGTGTCTGATAAATTACAAAGAAATAGGGTGCTTGTATGCCTTCGTTCCTTACCTGGTGGCTTCTTAAATAGATCTTTGTTCATTAGTACATTTTTCATCCATGTTGAGGATTTTGTCCTATATCCTTGTCAGTTTTTCTTCGGTCTCGTGATTCCTTATATGTAGCCAAGGGCAACCCCCAGTATGGCACACGATCAAGGTTGTAGCCAATCATTACATGCAAGAGCATGCTTGGGTCCAATCTAGCAGGTTTCATACCACTATTGTTGAACAGTTAATGTCTAAAGTGAAAGTGAGCCATTAGGTGCGGAAGCGTTCTTGGCATGTCCAATCTGGGCGTACCGTGTACTAGGGTATAGGGTTGGATGGATTCCAATCTCATGTCACTGTAGTTGAATAGCTGATGTGCTAGGGTATAGGGTTGGATGGAGTCCAATGGGCAATGGCCATCCATACTACTCCATCCGTTCCGAAATAACTATTGTTTTTTTTGTTTCCGTGCCATAAGTTTGATTAGATTTGTAGAAAATGTGTGTAACATTTGTATCTTCA